CTTTCCTGGGTGTCCCTCCTGGATGGGTGTCGGCTCCTCCTCTCTCTCCCGATTCCCAGCCCTCCTCAGCCCGAGGTTTGCCTCTCACTCGGGAGAGTGCCCCAAAGGGAAGGGAAAGGTTGGCTCAAGCACGTCCCTCTGGGCTGCTGGAGACAGAAGGAGGGATGGCTCCTCTGGAGCAGTCTGTGCTCCTCTGACTTTGTGTTTGTGCTTGTCTTTCTCTCCTCAAGAAAGAGAAATCCAAATCCAGCAGCAGCACTGCCCGAGAACCCAATGGCTTCCCGGCTGACACTTCTGCCAACTCCTCCCTCCTCTTGGAGTTCCAAGGTGGGTCTGCCTGAGCCTCCTTTGACCTGGGCGAAGACTCAAGGCCATACAGAACCTGAGACATTGCTGGTCTCTGTGTGCTGGCTGTATGGGGAAGAGCAATGTCTGTCTCCAGTGTGGGGTTGTGCTGATCCACTTCCAGACTCTCCCTGCCCAAACTGCTCATTCTTGCTGTCAGAAAGAGTCTTAATTGGCTATTTCTGGGATCTTCCTATGGGAAGCTTCCTGGGGAACTGGAGGAGTGGGGGTTCATGTGCCCACTAACTGCCTGCAGCAGTGACTGCTGCTTCCAGCAGTGACTTCTATGGACCTTAGGGTGAAGGGGCAGAGGATGACCCTGACCTTGCTCTTGGTCCTGAAGCACTGCAACCGGCAGAGTATATACCTGTGCCCAGGCTCTCTGCTCAGCTCCTCTTGTGGCTGAGGAGAACAGGGAATGTACTGGCACTTGCAGGAGATGCAGTGAGGTTATATTGCAGGTCTGCAGTTTGGGAAGCTGTGTGCTAGGCCTACCTTCCCATTCAGAGGCAGGTGCTGAGCCTTGCTCCTGGTGTTGGGTCACTGCTTGGCAAACAGAGGAGGAACAAAGCCCTGTTACATGGGCAGGAGGTTCCTACCCTTGATATTCAAGGCCTTACTGAGCTGCAGATAGGAGATTTGGCAGTGCTGCTCCTTTGCTTCCTGCTCAGTTGTACACCCAAGGAGCCTGCTAGGGCTCCTTCCCCAGGCAGGAGCATCCCCTCTCCAGTGGGATAGTGGTGTATATGGTGCATCCTGTGCCCTGCAGCCCTTGTGTTGATGGGGGCAGTGAATTCCCTGTTTAACTTCCCTGTGCTCTGCCTTCTTCACAAGACCCCAGCTCACAGTGCTGCCTCAGCTGCCTGTGCCCCTGGGTCAAGGTGCTCTTCTTCACCAGGTGCTGTTTCTGCAGATGAGAACAGCAACCAGAGCTCCTTGTCAGACGTGTACCAGCTCAAGGTGGACAGCAGCCCCAACTCCAGCCCCAGTCCCCAGCAGAGTGAGTCCATGAGTCCTGCCCACACGTCTGACTTCCGCACGGACGACTCGCAGCCACCCACACTGGGGCAGGAGACCCTGGAAGGTGGGTGCTGGGCTGGGAAGGGAGGAGGTGGATGGCTGGGCACAGGGAAGGCCCTACTGGAGCTGTTGGTGGTCGGGAGGGTGGCTGAGGCACTGCTGGAAGTGGACAGGGCAGTGGGGGCTCGTGTCTTGTGCTGGAGGTTCTGTGCTGGCTCAGCACTGATCTGGGTGCTGCCCTGCTCCTCGGTCTGCATTTTAACCCTCCTGTTCTCTCCAGAGCCTTCCCTGCCTTCCTCGGAAGTGGCAGATGAGCCTCCCACTCTCACAAAGGAAGAGCCAGTCCCCCTTGAGACTCAGGTAAGGATAGGGGAATGGGAACCACCTCTGAATGCAGATGGACCCAGCTTGGCCCTTTCACTCTCATCACTGCTCCTCGTGGCACATACATCTCGATGGATGGACTTGCTCTGCAATCCCGAAGTGCCTCTCAGGACCTCCCCAAACCTCCCAGCTTGTCCAGCTGTCCCCTGGTTCAGTTCAGACATTGACGTGTGAGGGAAGGATGTGGGGGCGGGGGAAAAACGACGATTCTGGTGGGCTGCAGGGCTGGAGTGGGTTCCCATTCCTGGGGTCTCTGCACAGGTGAAAGCCCCGGGGTGTCCCCACAGCTTGACACAGCCTTGTCTGCAAGGCTCAGCGCCACTGCCCTGATCACTGCCTGTGTCTCTTGCAGGTAACTGAAGAGGAGGAGGACTCCGGTGCGCCGCCTCTGAAGAGATTTTGTGCCGACCAGAACTCTGTGTGCCAC